CACGATTAACGACACCAAGGGAGGCGACGCTGTACGGCCGAAAAACGTTGCGGCGACGTTCGGAAAACCAACCGCAGGTTTCCCCCCTGGCTCTACGTGGCGACGGTAGTGTTGATGGTAGTAGTGGTAGTAGTAGTAGTGGTGGTAATAGTAGTAGTGGTAGTAGTGGTGATAGTAGTGATGGTAGTAGTGATGGTAGTAGTAGTGGTGGTCGTAGTAGTGGTAGTAGTAGTGGTAGTAGTGATGGTAGTAGTGATAGTAGTAGTAGTGGTGGTAGTAGTAGTGATGGTAGTAGTCGTGATGGTTGTAGTGGTGGGAGTAGTGGTAGTAGTAGTGGTAGTAGTAGTGGTTGTAGTTGTGATGGGAGTAGTGGTGGGAGTAGTAGTAGTAGTTGTTGTAATAGTGGTGGGAGTAGTAGTAGTGAAGGTTTTAGTGGTTGTCGTAGTGGTGGGAGTAGTAGTAGTAGTGGAGGTTGCAGTGGTAGTAGTAGTGGTGGTAGTAGGAGTGACGGTAGTAGTGGTGGCAAACAACGCCTGGCCATTGCAATGAAAAAATATTGAACCGGAAACTCAAAAGGCGCGCACGACGGAAAGACGCGCACCTCAGAAATAAAACCGAGAGCCGGAGACGGGAGAACGCGTGGATTGAAGAAAACGCGCGGGGGTTTAAAATAACAAATCAGCATCGTTCGAAACACTGTGAACCCCTTCTCCATGTCCGAGACGTCTTCTGCAAGTTGTAGGGTGATGTGGGTGGTGTCCCGTTCACCGCTGAATCTCGGAACGCACGCGAACGGCTCGGCGTTGATTTTATTTAGAGAGAGGCGTGGCGGTAGCAGCAGGAGCGCCGCTGTGTGTGCAGACGTTACTCACCGCGGAGAACCGTAGCGACACGACCGCCGCCAAACTCCGATAGCCGGCGCCAAGAACTGTGCCACGCACGCGGCCCTGCCCCACGTGGCCTCGCGGGAGCCTCGGTACCAATAAAGTTATTTATATTCTGTTTTTTTAAATATTAGTCTTACATACGAATTAAAAATAAATGAAAGAAAAACCGTACGTCATCGGAATGGGACAGGGTTCACGGAAGTGAGTGTGGCCTCAGTCAAGACGCGCCCTGGCCAGAGGAAATAACGATGATGATGACGACGACGATGGCGACGACGATGGCGACGATGATGACGACGATGATGATAACGACGACGATGGCGACGACGATGATGACGATGATGATGACGATGATGACGACGACGATGGCGACGATGATGACGACGATGATGACGACGACGATGGCGACGATGATGACGATGATGACGACGATGATGACGATGACGACGATGATGACGATGATGACGACGACGATGATGACGACGATGGTCGAGGCTAACAACGAAGAGGCAGCCGAGGGATGGAACGCTTCCGACAGGGTCACATCCACGGAGGATGATGGAGCGACGATGAAATCATATCGCGTGCGGGTGGATTGGAGAATAGGCCACGCAGGTTAAGGACATCAAGCGCGAAACAGTGGCAGCGGCCGACGGCTTTCTGAAAGCGAACATCATGATGTTTTATTTATTAAACGCTCGTGATGGTATTGAGGCCTTGCGAAGAATCGGGGGGGGGGGCGGGGGGGAGTGACATTTTAATTATTATTTTGTTCCAAGAGCCGTAATCACGTCAAAATTTTTATGTAAAAGCAGAACTCCATTTCGTGTGTCCAAATTACGAATTAAAAATATATATTTATTTGTTTAGTCCGTCGCCAATATCATCCAGCAGCGGCTTTTTTGTTTGTTAAACCGAATTAAAAAAAACTTTCCCAGGTTTTGACCTGGCGCCTGTCATCGGCAGCGCCGGTCGAGCTTGTTAAAACGAACGCTGCTCGAAGGAGCACTCCTGCGCGCCAAACTTTGGCAGAGACCCCCTTATGATGCGCGAAAGGCAACGGGGCCAATTAAATCGCTGTTGAAAAATAATCCACGGACCTTGACGGACTTTTTTTGTTTGTTTCCCGAATTAAGATCAAAATGACGGGGAGCATGCCCGTGACCTGGCACCTATCGTTGCTGCTACAGCGCGAGGCTCATCAATGAAGCGAGGCTCATCAATGAAGCGAGGCTCATCAATGAAGCGAGGCTCATCAATGAAGCGAGGCTCATCAATGAAGCGAGGCTCATCAATGAAGCGAGGCTCATCAATGAAGCGAGGCTCATCAATGAAGCGAGGCTCATCAATGAAGCGAGGCTCATCAATGAAGCGAGGCTCATCAATGAAGCGAGGCTCATCAATGAAGCGAGGCTCATCAATGAAGCGAGGCTCATCAATGAAGCGAGGCTCATCAATGAAGCGAGGCTCATCAATGAAGCGAGGCTCATCAATGAAGCGAGGCTCATCAATGAAGCGAGGCTCATCAATGAAGCGAGGCTCATCAATGAAGCGAGGCTCATCAATGAAGCGAGGCTCATCAATGAAGCGAGGCTCATCAATGAAGCGAGGCTCATCAATGAAGCGAGGCTCATCAATGAAGCGAGGCTCATCAATGAAGCGAGGCTCATCAATGAAGCGAGGCTCATCAATGAAGCGAGGCTCATCAATGAAGCGAGGCTCATCAATGAAGCGAGGCTCATCAATGAAGCGAGGCTCATCAATGAAGCGAGGCTCATCAATGAAGCGAGGCTCATCAATGAAGCGAGGCTCATCAATGAAGCGAGGCTCATCAATGAAGCGAGGCTCATCAATGAAGCGAGGCTCATCAATGAAGCGAGGCTCATCAATGAAGCGAGGCTCAATGAGCGAGGCTCATCAATGAAGCGAGGCTCATCAATGAAGCGAGGCTCATCAATGAAGCGAGGCTCATCAATGAAGCGAGGCTCATCAATGAAGCGAGGCTCATCAATGAAGCGAGGCTCATCAATGAAGCGAGGCTCATCAATGAAGCGAGGCTCATCAATGAAGCGAGGCTCATCAATGAAGCGAGGCTCATCAATGAAGCGAGGCTCATCAATGAAGCGAGGCTCATCAATGAAGCGAGGCTCATCAATGAAGCGAGGCTCATCAATGAAGCGAGGCTCATCAATGAAGCGAGGCTCATCAATGAAGCGAGGCTCATCAATGAAGCGAGGCTCATCAATGAAGCGAGGCTCATCAATGAAGCGAGGCTCATCAATGAAGCGAGGCTCATCAATGAGAAGCGAGGCTCATCAATGAAGCGAGCTCAATGAAGCGAGGCTCATCAATGAAGCGAGGCTCATCAATGAAGCGAGGCTCATCAATGAAGCGAGGCTCATCAATGAAGCGAGGCTCATCAATGAAGCGAGGCTCATCAATGAAGCGAGGCTCATCAATGAAGCGAGGCCATCAATGAAGCGAGGCTCATCAATGAAGCGAGGCTCATCAATGAAGCGAGGCTCATCAATGAAGCGAGGCTCATCAATGAAGCGAGGCTCATCAATGAAGCGAGGCTCATCAATGAAGCGAGGCTCATCAATGAAGCGAGGCTCATCAATGAAGCGAGGCTCATCAATGAAGCGAGGCTCATCAATGAAGCGAGGCTCATCAATGAAGCGAGGCTCATCAATGAAGCGAGGCTCATCAATTGAAGCGAGGCTCATCAATGAAGCGAGGCTCATCAATGAAGCGAGGCTCATCAATGAAGCGAGGCTCATCAATGAAGCGAGGCTCATCAATGAAGCGAGGCTCATCAATGAAGCGAGGCTCATCAATGAAGCGGAGGCTCATCAATGAAGCGAGGCTCATCAATGAAGCGAGGCTCATCAATGAAGCGAGGCTCATCAATGAAGCGAGGCTCATCAATGAAGCGAGGCTCATCAATGAAGCGAGGCTCATCAATGAAGCGAGGCTCATCAATGAAGCGAGGCTCATCAATGAAGCGAGGCTCATCAATGAAGCGAGGCTCATCAATGAAGCGAGGCTCATCAATGAAGCGAGGGCTCATCAATGAAGCGAGGCTCATCAATGAAGCGAGGCTCATCAATGAAGCGAGGCTCATCAATGAAGCGAGGCTCATCAATGAAGCGAGGCTCATCAATGAAGCGAGTGCTCATCAATGAAGCGAGGCTCATCAATGAAGCGAGGCTCATCAATGAAGCGAGGCTCATCAATGAAGCGAGGCTCATCAATGAAGCGAGCTCATCAATGAAGCGAGGCTCATCAATGAAGCGAGGCTCATCAATGAAGCGAGGCTCATCAATGAAGGCAGGCTCATCAATGAAGCGAGGCTCATCAATGAAGCGAGGCTCATCAATGAAGCGAGGCTCATCAATGAAGCGAGGCTCATCAATGAAGCGAGGCTCATCAATGAAGCGAGGCTCATCAATGAAGCGAGGCCCTCATCAATGAAGCGAGGCTCATCAATGAAGCGAGGCTCATCAAGAAGCGAGGCTCATCAATGAAGCGAGGCTCATCAATGAAGCGAGGCTCATCAATGAAGCGAGGCTCATCAATGAAGCGAGGCTCATCAATGAAGCGAGGATCATCAATGAAGCGAGGCCTCATCAATGAAGCGAGGCTCATCAATGAAGCGAGGCTCCATCAATGAACGAGGCTCATCAATGAAGCGAGGCTCATCAATGAAGCGAGGCTCATCAATGAAGCGAGGGCTCATCAATGAAGCGAGGCTCATCAATGAAGCGAGGGCTCATACAATGAAGCGAGGTCATCAATGAAGCGAGGCTCATCAATGAAGCGAGGCTCATCAACTGAAGCGAGGTCATCAATGAAGCGAGGCTCATCAATGAAGCGAGGCTCATCAATGAAGCGAGGCTAATCAATGAAGCGAGGCTCATCAATGAAGCGAGGCTCATCAATGAAGCGAGGCTCATCAATGAAGCGAGGCTCATCAATGAAGCGAGGCTATCAATGAAGCGAGGCTCATCAATGAAGCGAGGCTCATCAATGAAGCGAGGCTCATCAATGAAGCGAGGCTCATCAATGAAGCGAGGGCTCATCAATGAAGCGAGGCTCATCAATGAAGCGAGGCTCATCAATGAAGCGAGGCTCATCAATGAAGCGAGGCTCATCAATGAAGCGAGGCTCATCAATGAAGCGAGGCTCATCAATGAAGCGAGGCTCATCAATGAAGCGAGGCTCATCAATGAAGCGAGGCTCCGTCGTGTCTAACAGACGGGGTCAGCCTGGCAGCCGCTGGTGGTCGGGTGAGGGGGCTGACAACGTCGTCGTGCATTTCCCAATCAACTCATTTAGTGAAAATAATTTTTGTTTTCAGATTTTTTTTTGACAAAGTTGGACCGTGAGGATTACGGAGAGAGAGAGAAAGGCCGCCGGTCCGTGGAGTGTTTTTTTACTTTCGCGGGATCGACCGCTGCAACGCCTCGTTTGAGACGTCCCGTGTTCAAACTATTAAACTATAATATTTTTTCTTTTATCAGGTAAAGCCCCATTGAGCTATGTAGATCGTTTTCAGCCTGGCTATCGCAACATGATAGCTCAACAGAAGTGGCTCTTAATCATCACGTGGACATTCATAGCAGCAGCGAAATGCAGTCAACGCGTGTTTCTAAACGTGAAAAATCCACGCCACCACGGGGAGAGAGACACGCAAACTCCAAATATGGTGTCAGGGTCAGGATCGAACCCACGCCCTCCTGTGTACCAGGCGAGGTGGTTGACCTCTTGACCTCTCTATTGTCCGTGTAGCCCCCCCACCTCTCCCGCTCTCCAGGTGCAATTCCACCGTCGCACGTGTGCTGCTTGGGTTTGAAGGCCCTGGCCCTTGCCACCAGTTTGCCGATTGTCGCCATGCGTGGGAGTGGAGGGGTCGTGGGGTGTTGGGGGGAGGTGGCGGCTTTACCCCGACCAAAAGTGCTTGTTTAAAAAAATTTTATTTTTATTTTTTGGGGGCAATTTGGACCGCGGCGCTGGCAGACCTGGTGTCCTACGCACCTCTTTGCCGAATATCTCGCGGGTGCGTGCGGGATGTTTAACAATTACATAAACAGGGTGCTTCAAAAAAAAAAGTTGTTAACACTTCTGAGAATTTGCAACAACACCACGAGACATGCGCCGCCTCCTGGCTCTGGAGACCACCTGGAGAAGATTCCAGGCACGCGTTGACAACGATGGCGAACAAGCGGGAGACTCTTTGAAGCTATTAACATCACATTTGTTATCATGTTTACAGTGTATTATCATTATGCGTTCTTTTGCCATTAAAAACGATCGTCCCATGTAAGTGTTAACATTATTTTGAAGCACCCTGTATAATGTATTAATTGTTCGCAGCGTTAGGCGGGGGGTGGTGGTGGTTTGAACGGCCGGCCCAAGTCGCTACCCCCCTCAATATATTACGTAGACACACGGTGACGGATGAAGATCTGCTTACAAAATACAAAGATCCCCCACCGCCCCTCTCCCCGCCCTATAGCCCTGAACAGACTGTTGCGGCAAGTGCTGTTAACGAGCACACACACACGCACACACACACGCACACACACACGCGCACACACACGCGCACACAAACGCACACACACACGCACACACACACGCACACACACACGCACACACAAACGCACACACAAACGCGCATGCACACACACGCACACACGCGCACACAAACGCGCACACACACGCGCACGCACACACACGCACACACATGCACATACGCGCACACACGCACGCCCGTTCGGCTTGATCGTTTTAAGCCTCACTTCGTAAAGGTTTTCACCGTCAAAGTGGTGAAGGTGTCCCCCCTGCCCCCCCTACCCCCGGGGGAAACGTTACAGAGATGGCTGGAGGGGGGGGGGGGGGACGGGGCGGCTTGGGGGGGGGGCCCACATCCCCTCGGCACCTCTCACTTCCTGCTGCTGAGTATGGCCCCGACGAGGATGACGATGAGCAGGGCCATGAGGACGGTGAGGATCACCGTGATCACGATCATCCCTCCCGAGCGGCCTCCAGGCGGCAAGGGGATGTCATCGCGCGACATACCTGGGGGAAGGGGGGGGGAGATCGCACCATGGAAGGGGTGTTACGTTTACAGTCGTCATTGTGACGACATGAGATCTACGTAGACTTATATGGAGCTCAAAGTCCATACCGTGTGAACCCATAAGGTTAACCCCGTTGATCTTCATCATTAGACCTCCTTTGCCAGTACCAAAATATAATAATAGGGTTTTTCCCCTTTTTTCTGGCAACAAAACTGAAACCTTTTTACAAGGATTCATGTCTGCATTAACCACAATACTTGCAGTCAAAATGCAAACAAAAAAAAACACACTATGATAATATATGCATTGTCCTTGAAACTGATTGGTCCACACCAAGGGACAGCTTTCTTTTGAGCCTCGACCCAATTGGTGCTCGACCAGAGGACGCCAAAAGGCGTACAGCTCAAAGCCGTCCCTTGAGATGTATAAGGGGCACGCGGTGACCAATACGGTCTTAATTGATCTGTAATAAAGTAGGGCACTGATAAGGGGTTGACAGGTATGCATCTGTGACACAAAATGAACAGCGCTTCAAAGCTCATCGGATTTTTCTCCGAGATAAATAAAGATTCTGATTGTGCTTCTGAATTGCCTCTCCATATCATTCTACGGAGAGACGTACAATAACAAAGCATCGTCACGCAAACTCCGGTCATCAGCCTCGCCGCAGTAGCAGCTGCTGCTTTTGGCACTGATAAGGGGTTCACAGGTATTATAGTCTAACACTATACAGGACCCCCATAGACACATTCTAATATAGGTTTTACATAAGATCCAAACGTGTGCGTTAGTTATGACGTGCGCGTTAGTCAAGACGCGTGAGTCACGACGTAGGTGTAAGTGTGAGTCGCGATGTCCACTGTGGGCGGCGTGGACGACGCTGTGATATTTTTTTTGGCGGCCTTCCGTATTCTAATCGCAAACCTTTCCAACAAGCGGCCAAGGATTTCTGCTGCTGCGCCGTGTCACCGCACCCCGCGTCTTATTGCGTTCTCCGTTGATGTGTTACTCTTGTATGGCAGAGTGGATGGGAAATGCTGCCTCCTGTTGCGTGGATGAAAGTTCACTTCAAAAAGAAGGCGTTTCAGAGGTAGTTCTGTGATATCCACTTCCACGGACCGTTCTGTGTGGACCAGAGGGAGTTCTGTGATATCCACTTCCACGGACCGTTCTGTGTGCACCAGAGGTAGTTCTGTGATATCCACTTCCACGGACCGTTCTGTGTGGACCAGAGGTAGTTCTGTAATATCCACTTCCACGGACCGTTCTGTGTGCACCAGAGGTAGTTCTGTAATATCCACTTCCACGGACCGTTCTGTGTGCACCAGAGGTAGTTCTGTGATATCCACTTCCACGGACCATTCTGTGTGGACCAGAGGTAGTTCTGTGATATCCACTTCCACGGACCGTTCTGTGTGCACCAGAGGTAGTTCTGTGATATCCACTTCCACGGACCATTCTGTGTGCACCAGAGGTAATTCTGTGATATCCACTTCCACGGACCGTTCTGTGTGCACCAGAGGTAGTTCTGTGATATCCACTTCCACGGGCCGTTCTGTGTGCACCAAAGGTAGTTCTGTGATATCCACTTCCACAGACCGTTCTGTGTGTATCAGAGGTAGTTCTGTGATATCCACTTCCACGGACCGTTCTGTGTGTATCAGAGGTAGTTCTGTGATATCCACTTCCACGGACCGTTCTGTGTGCACCAAAGGTAGTTCTGTGATATCCACTTCCACGGGCCGTTCTGTGTGGACCAGAGGTAGTTCTGTGATATCCACTTCTACAAACCGTTCTGTGTGTATCAGATGTAGTTCTGTGATATCCACTTCCACGGGCCGTTCTGTGTGGACCAGAGGTAGTTCTGTGATATCCACTTCCACGGGCCGTTCTGTGTGCACCAAAGGTAGTTCTGTGATATCCACTTCCACGGGCCGTTCTGTGTGGACCAGAGGTAGTTCTGTGATATCCACTTCTACAAACCGTTCTGTGTGTATCAGAGGTAGTTCTGTGATATCCACTTCCACGGACCGTTCTGTGTGGACCAGAGGTAGTTCTGTGATATCCACTTCCACGGACCGTTCCGTGTGCACCAGAGGTAGTTCTGTGATATCCACTTCCACGGGCCGCTCTGTGTGGACCAGAGGTAGTTCTGTGATATCCACTTCCACGGGCCGTTCTGTGTGCACCAGAGGTAGTTCTGTGATATCCACTTCCACGGACCGTTCTGTGTGCACCAGAGGTAGTTCTGTGATATCCACTTCCACGGACCGTTCTGTGTGTATCAGAGGTAGTTCTGTGATATCCACTTCCACAGACCGTTCTGTGTGGACCAGAGGTAGTTCTGTGATATCCACTTCCACTGACCGTTCTGTGTGGACCAGAGGTAGTTCTGTGATATCCACTTCCACGGACCGTTCTGTGTGTATCAGAGGTAGTTCTGTAATATCTACTTCCACGGACCGTTCTGTGTGGACCAGAGGTAGCTCTGTGATATCCACTTCCACGGACCGTTCCGTGTGCACCAGAGGTAGTTCTGTGATATCCACTTCCACGGGCCGCTCTGTGTGGACCAGAGGTAGTTCTGTGATATCCACTTCCACGGGCCGTTCTGTGTGCACCAGAGGTAGTTCTGTGATATCCACTTCCACGGACCGTTCTGTGTGCACCAGAGGTAGTTCTGTGATATCCACTTCCACGGACCGTTCTGTGTGTATCAGAGGTAGTTCTGTGATATCCACTTCCACAGACCGTTCTGTGTGGACCAGAGGTAGTTCTGTGATATCCACTTCCACTGACCGTTCTGTGTGGACCAGAGGTAGTTCTGTGATATCCACTTCCACGGACCGTTCTGTGTGTATCAGAGGTAGTTCTGTAATATCTACTTCCACGGACCGTTCTGTGTGGACCAGAGGTAGCTCTGTGATATCCACTTCCACGGACCGTTCTGTGTGGACCAGAGGTAGTTCTGTGATATCCACTTCCACGGACCGTTCTGTGTGTATCAGAGGTAGTTATGTGATATCCACTTCCACGGACCGTTCTGTGTGTACCAGAGGTAGTTCTGTGATATCCACTTCCACGGACCGTTCTGTGTGCACCAGAGGTAGTTCTGTGATATCCACTTCCACGGACCGTTCTGTGTGTACCAGAGGTAGTTCTGTGATATCCACTTCCACGGACCGTTCTGTGTGCACCAGAGGTAGTTCTGTAATATCCGGTTCCGCGGGCCATTCGCTAAGACACAGGGAGGGCTGAACTGCTCTGCTCTCTCGATTGAAACCCCATTTCTTTCAAACCGCTCGTTGTTGTCGTTGAGTTGGTTGTCTTTCCACCCCGCACCTCCGATTAGTACTTTGGGGCTACGTACGTTGCGAAAGAATTCCGACCTACGTACAGTACGTACAATCACACGTTCCAAACGGAATCTCCATCTGGTGACGGAACGACGCCCATCGACGCGCGGTCGGGTTGAGTTTGGGCGTGACGATGACACACAAACAACAAACGGTGATGCGCTTCTTACGTGTTGAGATTGTGCTGGCCGAGTCTGACCAGCCGAGCTGTTTGACAGCGAGTTGTCCAACGTAGAGTATGGCATTTACCCTGTCAACACACACACACACACGGACACGGTTAGCTCCACCATGACCACCAAACACCACACAATCAACAACAACATCCACCATGTTACCAGCAACCCCCACCAGCAACATCACCAACACCATCACCAACAACAACACCAACCATTACACCACCACCACACTATCACCAACCACCACAGCATTACCACCAACCACAACACCAACCATTGCACCATCAACAACTGCCGTTCACCACTAAGTGGCAGTGACGTCACCATGTCTCTACCATTACCACCACCAAACACCACCTCCCCCATTGAGTAACCCTGACCACTCGTGTAGATTTCTCACAAACCTTTATGATTTACGTGTGCGCGTATTACATTTTGTGCGGGGGGGGGGAGGCGGACAGGTTAAGCGACAATTAATCGGAAACCAAACACGTGACCCTTTTTGCTACATCGTATTAAGATCGTTCCGCATACTCTTAGGTTTTTCGGTAAAGTCACGTAGGTAAAAAATAATAGAAATAATGATATCAATAAAATAATTATCGGGTAAAACATCAACATGTGCACCTATTGTTCTCTTTTAGCCCCGCCCACCCCCCCAACACGTTCCGCTCATTGGCTTCCACATTCAGATAAGCCCCTCCCCCTTCCCTCCCCCCTTAAATTTAAGAGCTTGACTCTTGGAATTTTGCCTCACTTGAGACAGTAAATCTAGCTGTGACGGTCCCACCTGATGACGGAGACTTGTGTTGCCTCCGAAACGTCGTGATTTATTATTTGATTTCTATAAAAATATATTGTATTATTTATTTCTTTACCTACGTGACTTTACCGAAAAACCTAAGAGTATGAATCCTTGCAGTCACGAAAGCTTCAAATCTAGACTCGTTCTGCATCTTTGGTCACCCCCCAACACCATCCCCCCCCCTCCCCACCCCACCCAACACCCCCCGCCAGCCCCTGTGTCACCTGTACTGCGTGCCGTTGGCCAGGGGTGGGTTGCACTCCGTGATGACTGTGGGAGGCTGCGGGACCGAGACGCACGTCGGGAGGCTCTTGGCGTTGGCGCCCAGCCGGTAAACCGAGTCCATGTTGGAGCCCAGATTGCAGGGCGGCACGGCAAACTTGTCCACCACGTACACGCCGGCAGGAAAGGAGGTGTCCGTGGTGATCTCTGGGACTGGCGCTTACGATTGGAGAGGAGACAGAGACAAAGATCGTCCTCCGGGTAGCGTTTAGGAGATTATCGGGGGGGGGGGGGGGGGTACGATTCAACACAGTACATAAAATCCGTGATCTGGTCCCGTCTGTAAAAGACGTGGTTCCAGACATACAGTACCCTGGCGTCTACAAACTAAGTTGCCTCTGTGGTAGCAGTTACATTGGAGAAACCAAACGACATGTCTCGGACCGCATCCGTGAACATAAAGCAGACCTGAAACACGGTAGGACAAACACCTCAGCCGTGGCAGATCACTGTTACAATTCAGTGGGCTCACATGACATTGACTTCTCCAAGACAGAGGTTCTCTGCAAGCCATCTGGCTACCATGAGAGATTCGTTCATGAGGCGATCCTCATATACAAACACAGAGACAATTTCAACCGAGAAGATGGATTCTGGCTCAGCAATCATTGGAAGGACGTAATAAACCACTTCGGATCTTAACTGATTGTTGTTCACATTTATGGTGACTTTCAGACCGCAGTCCACTCACTGGCATTAACTGTGTATCTTGTGTTCTCCACAGGGAATGCATTATTTGCTCCGCTGCGGGTCTCCTGCCACCGTTCTCCCATTCACATGTTTCATTGCTTCTACATACTATTAACATGCCCTCCCTTTGTTAATGCTACCCCCCTCCCTTTGGTGCTGCTGATCCTGCATAATGCATGGGCATAATATGACTTTGAAACCCCCCCGCCCACCTCCTACGCATTTCCCATGAATATGCTAAATTCATCTTGATATGCACATTCTTTTGTTAAGGCTCTCTTCTTCTTCCACCTCCAACTCAGCTTATATATAAGCTCCTAGCTTGGCAGTGTCTCATTCTTCACCTGAAGACGGCTGCTTGCGTTGTAGCCGAAACGTCGTGAGAATTATTTGATTTTATTATGTTTTATTTTTATTATTTTATTACTTCCCTTCTACGTGACTTTACCGAAAGAACCAAGAAGATTTAGCTGTACCACGAGCACACGAGGGGCTGGGGCTGAGCCATCGCCCGGCCGACTTGTGTCTCCTCCATGGCTGATGTGCACACACCGCACCAGATTACTCCTTTAGGGCCGAGTCGACTCTGGGGAGTTGAGGGGGGCCACGGCGGCAGCTGACTGACGGCCATACTCTTTGGTTCTTTCGGTAAAGTCACGTAGGTATAAAATGAAATAAATAAAATCACGACGTTTCGATTGCAACACAAGCATCTCTCTCCCACTTCAGCAAAACAACATTTTTATTGCTGTGGTTTTCCCACCTGATGATGATTACTCGTGTTGCAATTGAAACGTCGTGATTTAATTTATTTTATTCTATACCGACGTGACTTTACTGAAAGAACCAAAGAGTATGGATCCCTGCAGTCACGAAAACTTCAGATCTAGATTGACTGACAGCTGTTTACTCCTGCATTACTGCGCATTCCCGAGATGTTAACTACCTCACCTTGTATGCAGGAGGTCGTGGGTTCGATCCCGGCCCTGACATGACTGCTGCTGTATATTTGGACGTTTGCGTGTCTCTCTCTCCCCGTGGTAGTCGCGTGGATTTTTCTCCGCGTGCTTCGGTTTTTCCCCCGACCCACATTGACGTTAAGAATTAACGTCACGCATTTAGAATGTTTGGCTGCTGCTATAAATCTCCACCTGACGACGATGATGATGATGATAATCCCCCTGAGGCTATCATTTGTGATAGGCAGGTAGCTTCTGAAAAAGAGCTATATAACTCAGTGGGCCTTACCTGGTAGAATCAAAATCGTTTAAAAAATTTTTGCTACAGGAGGTCGTGGGTTCGATCCTGACCCTGATGCCCGCTATATACAGGGTGCTTCAAAAAAATGTTAACACAACAAATGTGCCTCCGAGCTCTGGAGACCACCTGGAGAAGATTCCAGGCATGTTTTGACAAGATGGCGAACAAGTGGAGACTCTTTGGCTTTTTGAAGCTATTAACATTATACGTTTTTTTTCCATTTAAAGCGATAGTCCCATATAAGTGTTGAAACATTTTTAAGCACCCTGTATTTGGAGTTGTGCGTTTTCTCTCTCGCCATGGTGGTCACGTGGATTTGTCTCCGGGTCCTCCGGATTTTTTTCCCCCTCCTACACATTTAGAATCAACGTCACGCGTTTCGAGTGTTTTGGCTGCTGCTACACATTTCCACAGTGATGATGATGATGATAAGGCCACTTCGCTGAGGTTTCATTTGCGATAGCCAGGGTCACTTCTGAAAAAGCACCGACATAGCAACTCAGTGGACGGCCTCCACCTGGTAAAATAAAATAGGTTACGTGCATAGTTGAGGTTTTTAATTCTTACCTTCGGTGTTTTTTCTCGCCACGATCATGATCTGATCCACATTCTGGTCTATCGTCTGCAAGCAGTTGGGGATTTTGAAGGTGAGCGAGCTGTAGCTGTTCGCTGCCCGGTAGTAAGCCGTATTTGCAATGGCCATCGGAGATCCTGCGACCACAAACACCGACCACAACAGAAGAAAGCAGCGGACAAAAAGACGTCTCCTTTAGACTCTTAGATGCGCGCGTGTGTGTTATTGTTTTTAGCATTAGTCCGATGTCGCTCGGACTTTGCGGAACTTTGGTTCGCAGCGTCGCGTCTCCGACCAGTCGGTTCATTGCCTGACCCGCCCACGCTCACACCGCTCCGGTGTTTTGCAAGAAGAAGTAATTTTGCTACGGCCGTTGACACGATCTACTGTGTATACCCCAGGCCCTAGCGAGTCGGGATATGTACAAGTGCTGAAGAGCAGTAGTTGTTTGTCGTTTTCAGGTACAGGTCTCAAAAACACGACCCATAGATTAAAACAGAACCCACTTATATAGTGCCCACAGATTAACATAGCACCCATAGATATACATAGGACTCAATCACCCATAGACTAAAATAGGATCAATCGATATACATGGGACCCAATGATCCATATATTAACATAGGACCAATCGAAATATATCAGCGACCCATTGACGAACATATGACGAATAGATATACATAGGACCCAATCACCCATAGACTAATTTAGGACCAATATATACAGTCATACCTCAGTATACGACCGCTTTGGAATACGTCTAATTTGGTATACGTCGCGTTTTGATGAAAAAATGTCTTGGGATACGACGCACTTGCTAGAACTTGTATGGGTCGGGATGAGTCACCGCGTACAGAACCCGCGTACACAATACTGGTACAAGCTTGTGTTGCGCCCGAAACGTCGTGATTTATTTTATACCTACGTGACTTTACCGAAAGAACCAAATAGTATGGATTCCTGCAATCACGAAAGCTTCAAATCAAGATAGGAACTTAATACTTTCATACAACCCATAGACTAATATATGGTCCATAGACCTATAAGGAGCTCATAGTCTAACACTGTATAGGACCCATAGACAGTCCAATATAATCATTATAATTCCATGTATATTGTGTCTTTTCATCAAGGTTCTCAAAGTGCTGTACAGAACACAGCAGTCGCACACTCAGAATAAAAAATAATCATATTAGAAATACATTTTAAGAATCCCATTTACTAAATGAACTAAAGGTTTAACAAGCGTAAGCGTGTACTTATGAATATGTTTTAAGACATTTTTTTTATGACTCAGAGCGATCCCTCTGATGGCTCGTTCCATAGCCTGGGGGCTACGCGGAGAAACATCATCGGTCACTCGCAGAACGAAGACGCCTCGACCTGGGAATGCAGAGAGAAAATCTGCACCCCCCACCCCCACATCTTAGGGACCATGGGTGCAAGCGTGTCAATGATGTAGGCTGGGGCATCAAGATGGTCCACCGCTTTGTTGAGGTAACAAGAGGAATTCAAACTGGATTCTACGTACGACTGGAAGCCAATGCAGGGAGGGCCAACACGGGCGTTATACGATGTGAAGGTGTTCTGATTAACACTCTTTAGCAGCCGCATTCCATTCTGAACACGCTGCAAATTGAAAAAGGTCAACATAAAATCCTAAATAGCCCCCCCCCCCCCCCATAGAATAATAGGGTTTGGGCAGCAGAGGGCAGTGCAACGCGGTGAATTGTTGTACAGGGTACTTCAAAAAAATGTGAACACTTCTGAGAATTTGCAACGACACCACAAGACATGTGCTGCTTCTGGGCTCTGGAGACCACCCGGAGAAGATTCCAAGCGTGCGTTGACAACGATGGCGAACGAGTGGAGACGCTTTGGCTTATTGAAGCTATTAACATCACATTTGTTATCATGTTACAGTGTATTATTATTCGTTCTTTTGACACGCTTTCTTTTAACTCGCTGTCTGTTGTATCCTCAAATCCTGTAACTCAATTTTTACCCACTTCCCAATGTGGTATCGACTGCAAACTTGGTATACTTATGTCATACTGATGACAATACTATATTCTATCATAAAAATCTATATTTTTTAATATTATTTTTATATGTTATGTTTCGGCTTGGGTCTAATTGTCCACGCTCAACTGACGTTTGCTGTAATTGGCCACGGTCCCTTAGGTCATGGCAAGCTTTGGGGACACTTCCTGGAGTCGTGGAGTTCTTCCATTACTAGTACATTTCATAAAAGCATGTTTTTAAAAAAGTTTTTTAAAATATTACTTATTTTGGCCAAGTCTCACTACCAATGTCACACCAGAGAACAACAACGCCAAATTATGAGCAGTACAAGGACATTGCCACAGATGTTACAATGTTGAACTTGGGACCCATTTTTGCCAGCATCAAAATGATAAAAAAACAAGAGTAGACGTTTTTACCCATTGTACGGCAAATAAAGCAGGAGTTGTGTTAAGATGTTTAAAAATACACAAATAGCTGGTACATTTTGAAAATAATCAAGCCTGTATTAACCACACACGCGTATTTGAGGATAAACTTGCAATCAAAAACATGCTGTCATCATCATAATGATTAAAGCATTGTCTTTTTAAATGATTGGCCTACACCAGACAGACATCATTCTCAATGGCCTAGCTTCACTACCAGTGTTAGATCAGAGAACAACAAGGCGAAAGTATGAGCAGTACAAGGACATTGCTACTTTTTGACAGGATCAAAATTATTATTATTTTAAAAACTTGAGTAGGTTTTTTTCGGTAAAGTCACGTGGGTTTAAAATAAATTAAATCACGACGTCCCGGGCGACACACAAGCAATCATCATCAGGTGGGACGACCACAGCAAGAAAGAATTGCTGAAGTTGCATATTATACTGGTAGGTTCCTTATATTGTTAGGTTCCTACCAGTATAATATGCAACAACATTGGCCCAACATTGGCATGCCCACCCAGCCCCTCTCCACCCTCCCCTCGCCACCCAGCCCCTCCCTCCCCACCCAGCCCCTCCCTGCACGACGGACGGACACAATCATCCCCTGTGGGCTGGTGTAACCAGGAGGTTCCTACCAGTATAGTTTGCAACAACATTGGCCCAACATTGGCATGCCTACTGAGGGTAGTCCCAGCGCCATCTGTCCAGTAGAACCAATAAGTAGCATTGCAGGTACAATGCAGGGCTATAGTTAATTCGTACTCTGTAAGTTTGAATTACTGTGTCGATGTTTTATTCACACACTTATATAAAAGTCCACACTTATATAAACTCCTTAGCCCCGGCATTTCTCCCACTTTAGTAACATTTTCTAGCTGTGATTTTCACACCTGATGATGATTGCTTGTGTTGTAATCGAAACGTCGTGATTTAATTAACGTTTATTTATTTATTTATTTTTATTTTTATCTCTTATTTTTATTTTATGTTTTATTTTTATTATTTTATTATTTCCCTTCTACGTGACTTTACCGAAAGAACCAAAGAGTATGGATCTCTGCAGTCACGAAAACTTCAAATCTAGATTTAGTAGGTTTTATTACCCTTGTCTGACATATTAAAACAACTTCTTGGTTCTCTTGGTAAAGTCACGTAGAAGGGAAGTAATAAAATAATAAAAATAATACATAATAAAATAAGATGATGAATCCCTGCAGTCACGAAAGCTTTAAATCGAAATATTAAAACAAGTTTTAAGATGTTGATTTAAAGCTTTCGTGACTGAAGGGATTCATAATGTTAGTTCTTTCGGTAAAGTCATGTAGAAGGGAAACAATAAAATAATAAAAATATAAACAATAAAAAATTTTCTCTGTGGATTTCACACCGGCTGATGATTGCTTGTGTTGCAGTCGAAACGTCGTGAGAATGTTTTTATTGTTGAATATTTGTATTATTTTATTATTTCCCTTCTACGTGACTTTACCGACAGAACCAATAATAAATAAGTTTTAAGATGTTCAAACGCCAAACAGATGCCCTTTTCAAGGAATCAAACCTGCAATAACCACACACACAGTACTCGTGACAAAATATGCGTGCTCTGATTGACCTCCGGTAATAATTATCAGCAGCATATTTAGCGAAGTACTATATGATGATTATGATTAATCGATTTGTAACAATGTGGGTTATCATCATCATCATAATCAGGTCAAACCGAAATCACCGACGACTTGACACCACACGTGATGGGCACACGCCGTACAAGCTACAAAATAACTCTTAAAATTAAATAACAAAAGATATTATACTCTTGTGTTTTTTCGGTAAAGGCACGTAGGAAAAAAATATATTAATTATTTATATTATTTTTAAACAATACAAATTATTTCTATTATTATATCTATTATTTTTAAATAATGCAAATCATTATTTCTATTATTATATCTATTATTTTTAAACAATACAAATTATTTCTATTATTATATCTATTATTTTTAAATAATGCAAATCATTATTTCTATTATTATATCTATTATTTTTAAATAATAAAAATTATTTCCATTATTATTTCTATTATTTTTACCTACGTGACTTTACCGAAAAAACCTAAGAGTATTAATCCTTGCAGTCACGAAAGCTTCAAATAAAGCAACAAAAGATATTATCGATTTGAAGTTTTCGTGACTGCAATGATCCAAACTAATTGGTTCTTTCGGTAAAGTAACGTTGGTAAAAAATAAAAATAATTTAGTTATTTTCATTGTAATATTTTATTATTTTTATTTTATTTTTCATCTACGTGACTTTATCGAAAAAAACCAAAAATATATCTATTTTAACAAAAATAATAATCAGCCGTACACGCACAAAATAAAAGGGAGAGTTTGTGCATCTGAGTATAAGACGCAACTTTAATTAGTCATCGTTTATTATAAAACTCTTATTTTTGTATAAGTTTAAACTCTTATTTAGATGAGGTAGCTCGGGGTTACGCTTTAAACTCTTTTTTTGTATAAGTTTAAACACTTATTTAGATGAGGTAACTCGGGGTTACGCTTTAAACTCTTTTTTTGTATAAGTTTAAACACTTATTTAGATGAGGTAACTCGGGGTTAAGTGTTAAACTCTTATTTTTGTATAAGTTTAAACACTTATTTAGATGAGGTAGCTCGGGGTAAAGTTTTAAACACTTATTTAGATGAGGTAACTCGGGGTTAAGTGTTAAACTCTTATTTTTGTGTAAGTTTAAACACTTATTTAGATGAGGTAACTCGAGGTAAAGTTTTAAACTCTTATTTTTGTGTAAGTTTAAACACTTATTTAGATGAGGTAGCTCGGGGTTAAGTGTTAAACTCTTATTGTAGTTAAACACTTATTTAGATGAGGTAGCTCGGGTTAAGTGTTAACTCTTATTTTTGTGTAAGTGTAAACACTCACCAGCGGTTGGGATCTGTGCCGATGCCATCGCCACACAGAGGCTCGACCCCAGCAGAAAGTTCAGGAGAAGTTTTCCCGCCATTAGTTTGGGTTTTTCTCCTCAGCTTCTTGTCAAAGATTTTTGTGTTCAATATTTATGATAGATAGATATTTTAAAGAGTATAACGTAATCGAACGCGACTGTCTATACTTTGTGTGTGACAAATAAGAAAAAAATTATTAAAACTTCGAATGAAAAATTTGCGTGAGGTAAAAAGGAAATTAATTTCACGAGAGACTCGTAAAGCACCACATCCGTTCAGGTAAAGAGTTTAAAAGGCTCCGGTTATGAAGTGGCACACCTTGGGGTGGTAGGCAGGGTTTAAAATATTTAAATATATATTTCGTAAACGTCTAAAATAACACGCATTGGTCCGGTAGAACAGGTTTGTGGCTTAAGGTTCGGTAAAGCTGTGTGTGTCGTCTTTATTTATATATATATCACACTTGTATGTTTTGTTAATCACTAACATACAATGTGATCTTAACACAACCACCGCACAGGTTTTGCAATGGCTTTGGAATGTGGGTGTGTTAAGTGTACTTTTAAAATGTATTTCCTTGAGCGCAAATTTAAATACAGTACGAGATTGTGTGTGCTAAGTATTGTGTTTGTCTTTGTGTGTAAGTGGGTATGTGTGTCTTTGTGTGTCTTTGTGTGTCTGTGTGTATCTGTGTGTCTGTGTGTATCTGTGTGTAAGTGGGTATGTTTGTGTGTAAGTGGGTGTCTGTGTGTGTCTGTATGTATCTGTGTCTTTGTGTGTAAGTAGGTATCTGTGTGTTTTATGTATGTGTGTCTGTGTGTCTTTGTGTGTAAGTGGGTATCTGTGTGTCTTTGTGTGTCTGTGTGTATCTGTGTGTAAGTGGGTATGTTTGTGTGTAAGTGGATGTCTTTGTGTGTAAGTGGGTGTCTATGTGTCTTTGTGTGTAAGTGCGTATCTGTGTGTCTTTGTGTGTAAGTGGGTATCTGTGTGTCTTTGTGTGTAAGTGTGTATCTGTGTGTCATTGTGTGTAAGTGGGTATCTGTGTGTCTTTGTGTGTAAGTGGGTATCTGTGTGTCTTTGTGTGTAAGTGGGTGTCTATGTGTCTTTGTGTGTAAGTGTGTATCTGTGTGTCTTTGTGTGTAAGTGGGTATCTGTGTGTCTTTGTGTGTAAGTGGGTGTCTGTGTGTCTTTGTGTGTAAGTGTGTATCTGTGTGTTTTTGTGTGTAAGTGGGTATCTGTGTGTCTTTGTGTGTAAGTGGGTGTCTGTGTGTCTTTGTGTGTAAGTGGGTATCTGTGTGTCTTTGTGTGTCTGTGTGTATCTGTGTGTAAGTGGGTATGTTTGTGTGTAAGTTGATGTCTTTGTGTGTAAGTGAGTGTCTGTGTGTCTTTGTGTGTAAGTAGGTATCTGTGTGTTTTATGTATGTGTGTCTGTGTGTCTTTGTGTGTAAGTGGGTATATGTGTGTCTTTGTGTGTCTGTGTGTATCTGTGTGTAAGTGGGTATGTTTGTGTGTAAGTTGATGTCTTTGTGTGTAAGTGGGTGTCTGTGTGTCTTTGTGTGTAAGTAGGTATCTGTGTGTTTTATGTATGTGTGTCTGTGTGTCTTTGTGTGTAAGTGGGTATATGTGTGTCTTTGTGTGTCTGTGTGTATCTGTGTGTAAGTGGGTATGTTTGTGTGTAAGTTGATGTCTTTGTGTGTAAGTGAGTGTCTGTGTGTCTTTGTGTGTAAGTGCGTATCTGTGTGTCTTTGTGTGTAAGTGGGTATCTGTGTGTCTTTGTGTGTAAGTGTGTATCTGTGTGTCATTGTGTGTAAGTGGGTATCTGTGTGTCTTTGTGTGTAAGTGGGTATCTGTGTGTCTTTGTGTGTAAGTGGGTGTCTATGTGTCTTTGTGTGTAAGTGTGTATCTGTGTGTCTTTGTGTGTAAGTGGGTATCTGTGTGTCTTTGTGTGTAAGTGTGTATCTGTGTGTCTTTGTGTGTAAGTGGGTATCTGTGTGTCTTTGTGTGTAAGTGGGTATCTGTGTGTCTTTGTGTGTAAGTGGGTATCTGTGTGTCTTTGTGTGTAAGTGGGTATCTGTGTGTCTTTGTGTGTAAGTGGGTGTCTGTGTGTCTTTGTGTGTAAGTGGGTATCTGTGTGTCTTTGTGTGTAAGTGTGTATCTGTGTGTCTTTGTGTGTAAGTGGGTATCTGTGTGTCTTTGTGTGTAAGTGGGTGTCTATGTGTCTTTGTGTGTAAGTGTGTATCTGTGTGTCTTTGTGTGTAAGTGGGTATCTGTGTGTCTTTGTGTGTAAGTGTGTATCTGTGTGTCTTTGTGTGTAAGTGGGTATCTGTGTGTCTTTGTGTGTAAGTGTGTATCTGTGTGTTTTTGTGTGTAAGTGGGTATCTGTGTGTCTTTGTGTGTAAGTGGGTGTCTGTGTGTCTTTGTGTGTAAGTGGGTATCTGTGTGTCTTTGTGTGTCTGTGTGTATCTGTGTGTAAGTGGGTATGTTTGTGTGTAAGTTGATGTCTTTGTGTGTAAGTGAGTGTCTGTGTGTCTTTGTGTGTAAGTAGGTATCTGTGTGTTTTATGTATGTGTGTCTGTGTGTCTTTGTGTGTAAGTGGGTATATGTGTGTCTTTGTGTGTCTGTGTGTATCTGTGTGTAAGTGGGTATGTTTGTGTGTAAGTTGATGTCTTTGTGTGTAAGTGGGTGTCTGTGTGTCTTTGTGTGTAAGTAGGTATCTGTGTGTTTTATGTATGTGTGTCTGTGTGTCTTTGTGTGTAAGTGGGTATATGTGTGTCTTTGTGTGTAAGTGGGTATCTGTGTGTCTTTGTGTGTAAGTGGGTATCTGTGTGTCTTTGTGTGTAAGTGGGTGTCTATGTGTCTTTGTGTGTAAGTGTGTATCTGTGTGTCTTTGTGTGTAAGTGGGTATCTGTGTGTCTTTGTGTGTAAGTGTGTATCTGTGTGTCTTTGTGTGTAAGTGGGTATCTGTGTGTCTTTGTGTGTAAGTGTGTATCTGTGTGTCTTTGTGTGTAAGTGGGTATCTGTGTGTCTTTGTGTGTAAGTGGGTGTCTGTGTGTCTTTGTGTGTAAGTGGGTATCTGTGTGTCTTTGTGTGTCTGTGTGTATCTGTGTGTAAGTGGGTATGTTTGTGTGTAAGTGGATGTCTTTGTGTGTAAGTGGGTGTCTGTGTGTCTTTGTGTGTAAGTAGGTATCTGTGTGTTTTATGTATGTGTGTCTGTGTGTCTTTGTGTGTAAGTGGGTATATGTGTGTCTTTGTGTGTCTGTGTGTATCTGTGTGTAAGTGGGTATGTTTGTGTGTAAGTGGATGTCTTTGTGTGTAAGTGGGTGTCTGTGTGTCTTTGTGTGTAAATGTGTATCTGTGTGTCTTTGTGTGTCTGTGTGTATCTGTGTGTAAGTGGGTATGTTTGTGTGTAAGTGGATGTCTTTGTGTGTAAGTGGGTGTCTATGTGTCTTTGTGTGTAAGTGGGTATCTGTGTGTCTTTGTGTGTAAGTGGGTATCTGTGTGTCTTTGTGTGTATCTGTGTGTCTTTGTGTGTAAGTGGGTATCTGTGTGTCTTTGTGTGTAAGTGGGTATCTGTGTGTCTTTGTGTGTAAGTGTGTATCTGTGTGTCTTTGTGTGTAAGTGGGTGTCTATGTGTCTTTGTGTGTAAGTGTGTATCTGTGTGTCTTTGTGTGTAAGTGGGTATCTGTGTGTCTTTGTGTGTAAGTGTGTATCTGTGTGTCTTTGTGTGTAAGTGGGTATCTGTGTGTCTTTGTGTGTAAGTGGGTATCTGTGTGTCTTTGTGTGTAAGTGTGTATCTGTGTGTCTTTGTGTGTAAGTGGGTGTCTATGTGTCTTTGTGTGTAAGTGTGTATCTGTGTGTCTTTGTGTGTAAGTGGGTATCTGTGTGTCTTTGTGTGTAAGTGTGTATCTGTGTGTCTTTGTGTGTAAGTGGGTATCTGTGTGTCTTTGTGTGTAAGTGGGTGTCTGTGTGTCTTTGTGTGTAAGTGGGTATCTGTGTGTCTTTGTGTGTCTGTGTGTATCTGTGTGTAAGTGGGTATGTTTGTGTGTAAGTGGATGTCTTTGTGTGTAAGTGGGTGTCTGTGTGTCTTTGTGTGTAAGTAGGTATCTGTGTGTTTTATGTATGTGTGTCTGTGTGTCTTTGTGTGTAAGTGGGTATCTGCGTGTCTTTGTGTGTCTGTGTGTATCTGTGTGTAAGTGGGTATGTTTGTGTGTAAGTGGATGTCTTTGTGTGTAAGTGGGTGTCTGTGTGTCTTTGTGTGTAAGTGTGTATCTGTGTATCTTTGTGTGTAAGTGGGTATCTGTGTGTCTTTGTGTGTAAGTGGGTGTCTGTGTGTCTTTGTGTAAGTGGGTATCTGTGTGTCTTTGTGTGTAAGTGTGTATCTGTGTGTCTTTGTGTGTAAGTGGGTGTCTGTGTGTCTTTGTGTGTAAGTGGGTATCTGTGTGTCTTTGTGTGTAAGTGTGTATCTGTGTGTCTTTGTGTGTAAGTGGGTATCTGTGTGTCTTTGTGTGTAAGTGGGTGTCTGTGTGTCTTTGTGTGTAAGTGGGTATCTGTGTGTCTTTGTGTGTCTGTGTGTATCTGTGTGTAAGTGGGTATGTTTGTGTGTAAGTGGATGTCTTTGTGTGTAAGTGGGTGTCTGTGTGTCTTTGTGTGTAAGTGTGTATCTGTGTGTCTTTGTGTGTAAGTGGGTATCTGTGTGTCTTTGTGTGTAAGTGGGTATCTGTGTGTCTTTGTGTGTAAGTGGGTATCTGTGTGTCTTTGTGTGTAAGTGGGTATATGTGTGTCCTGTGTGTAAGTGGGTATCTGTGTGTCTCCGTGTCTGTGTGAATCTGCGTCTTTGTGTGTAAGTGGGTATCTGTGTGTCTTTGTGTGTAAGTGGGTATATGTGTGTCTTGTGTGTAAGTGGGTATCTGTGTGTCTCCGTGTGTCTGTGTGAATCTGTGTCTTTGTGTTTAAGTGGGTATCTGTGTGTCTTTGTGTGTAAGTGTGTATCCTGTGTGTTTTTGTGTGTAAGTGGGTGTCTGTGTGTCTTTGTGTGTAAGTGGGTATCTGTGTGTGAGTGGGTATGTTTGTGTGTAAGTGTGTACCTGTGTGTCTTCTTATGTATGTGTGTATCTGTGTGTCTTTGTGTGTCTGTGTTTATCTGTGTGTCTTTGTGTATCTGTGCGTCTTTGTGCGGTGGTGTAGTGGTGAGCGCTACGCTGCGCTATGAACCTGGCGACCCGAGTTCGATTCCCGCTCATGGCCAACACCAGTGACGATTATCTGAACCGGTCCTGGGCCTCCCCTAGGTCGACTCAGCCTGAAATGAGTACCTGGTGCGGGGTGTAAACATCGCCACTGGGGAGACAAAGGCGGTCGGGCGTGGTGCTGGCCACCCACCCCCTCGTGTGCCATGCCGGCCTTCATAGGTGCTCGCTAACAGCAC